CCCTTGTCTATTCATACTTGAGAATGTCTGTGATGGTGCAAACCAGCCAGAGCGGTAGCTATGCACACTGGCACCAGAAGCAGTAACCAAGGAGGAGAATGGGGCATTGCTTGCTAGACTGGTCCACTGTCAGAGATACTAGGTTTTGATAAGTTTCCATCAGGTGTGAGAATAAGTTAGTTGTACTTGACTGGGGGACACATTGGAAAGTTTGCTCTAACTGTAGTTTGTTTAAAGAACTTGTTGAAAAATATGATCATACAATAAAAAATTCTCACAGAAAGCAAGTTGAAACAGATGTACACAGAGTATACTTGAAATCTTGGATACTGAAAAAAGGGAACAGTTTACAGCAATGGGGTATTTGTACATGATTCATGGATATGGCTTTGCTTCAGTTATTCCCTCACAGGTCTGTCCAAATTACAAAGGAATGATTCTTCCAGTTGAAAACACTGATATCAGCCAGTGGCTTTGGTGTGTAATAAATGTGACTGGAAAGGTAAAAGAGTTGGAAAATTGAGAGATTCATTAGTGTCCTCTTTACCCCTATTCTGTGTTCCGTGAGCCTTAGGTGCAGAGGTTGCATTGTATCACTTAGACTTGGGCAAATCATAGACAATGTCCATGTGTGATCAGTTGTGGTACATGGTAATAGACTCCATCTGGTATAAAAGAAGCTTCTTGGATGAGTGGTGACTGGAATATTTGTCTGTAAATATAAGGCACATAGTAAGAAATTACATTAGTCTAGGGGATATGACAGTCTTGGGGTTTTTCGCTAAGATCTGTGACCTCTCCAGCCATGTGTATTTGGTTATGTTTACAGTTCCACACTTGAGTTTCCTCCCGTTGAATGGACTTTTAGTCCAGTTAGGTAGCTGTTGATTGCCCTTAAGATAAAAGTGCCACTGCTGAAGCTCCCTCATGCAACAGAGGACCACAAACACAAAAGGACACAAATGACCAAAGTATAGAGAGTGCAGAATGCTGGTTCTTGGACAGGACTCCCTTATTAAACTTCAACCACCCAGGGCTCAGGGATCATTGTAGAAGAGGGGGCAGAAAGATGGTAAGAGCCAGGGAGGAAGTATGTGACCATATGGGTGAGTCTTACAAGTTCCTGGGACCCTGCTCATACAAACGTACAGCCATGGTGTCAGCATACACAAGTCCCATGCAAACTCAAGCAGACAAAAACCCAGCATAGAACTGGGGAAATGGATGGCAGACCTCAATATTAACTGAAGGAATATTGGCAACTGATTATTGCTGGGTGAGGAAGAGCCGATCTTCCTACAGGGAGGGACTCTAGATAAGCTGACTAGACCTCAGTAGGATAAACTTGCTCTGATGAACATCTGGAGACACTAGCTTGACACAGTAGACCTTAACACGATAGAATATATGAATCCCAGGGCGGGGAGGGGCTATGGGAGGGTGGTAGTGAAGATGGGAGTATAAAGATGATTAAGATTGATTAGGATGTTCTGTATGAAATCCACAAAAATTCAATAAAAACAATTTCTTTAGAAAGTTGTTAGAAAGCAACAGGGTTGCAATAGAGCAAGATCGGCTGTAGCTGCTGCTGCTGCTTGGGACAAAACCAGCTAGCATAACACTGTGAACCAGCCTTAAATTTTAAACTTCTTGTAGTGAACAGCCTACAGAAGCTGCATCACCAGTGATTTCTGTACTCTTGAGGGTCTCATCTACATCAACACATGAAAGAAGATATCCCATAAAAGCAAAACATGAACAAAGAAGAGTCAAGAAAGAATCGTGTCTAACACAACAAACCGGCAGTCCCCAAACTAACAGAGAAAAAAAGATATACCAGTAATACACTCAATTAGAATATCTCCTAACAGAAGAACCATAGGAAATAATAAGTCCTTTTTGATAACAACTTCAAATGTAAATGGCCTCACCTTACCAGTAAGGGATCTGACGCCCTCTTCTAGTCTCTGCAGGCATTGCACGACACATACAGGCAAAACACTTACATACATAAAAGTAAATTTAAAAAATCAAACAAACAGAAAAAACCATGTAGCCAGCAAAAATACACAAAAGTGATAGTCCACAGATAAGAATCAACCTACCAAACAAAGAGAAACCATAAATGAGCAGCTGTACAGTTTGTTTGGTTTGGTTTGTTTGTTTGTTTGAGACAGGGTCTCCTTATAGCCCCAGCTGGCTTAGAACTCACTATGTAGACCAGGCTGGCCTTGATCTGACAGAGGTCTCTCTGCCTCCCAAGTGCTGGGATTAAAGGTGAGTGCCACCATGCCCAGCTTGTAACTACTCTTATATCTGCTAAAGTAAACTTCAAACCAAAACTAGGAAGAAGAGATAGAGGGCCAGTACATTTCTCAGCAGTACACAAAACCACCGTCTCTGAAACTGATCACATCATAAGCCACAAAGCAAGCCTTGACATAGGCAAATACTGGAGGTAATTCCTTGTATCCAATCATACCTACCATAAAAGTAGAAATCAACAGCAAGGAAGTCTTTAGAAACTGCAGAAAATACCTGGACACTTCTGAATGAACAAAATGTCATTGAAGAAAGCAGAGAGAAAATTAAAATTCCCAGAAACAAATTTATACCTATAAGCACTCACATTAAATAATCACACATCACAAAGAAATCACCTATTGATGTACCTTCAGGCTCTAGAAAAACTGCATGAAGCTATTCTCATATATACTAGGTGAAAAGAAATAAGATTAGGTCAATTATTAAAATAGAAACTAACAGTATAATACACAAAACTAATCAAAGAGTTGATTCTTTGAAAAGTTTTAACAAGATTGACAAACTCCTAGCCAGATTTATAAAAAGAGAGGACTGAATTCATAAAATTAGAGGCATAAAGGTCATTGTTACAATAAATTCCAGTGAATTTTAATTTTAGATGTTTAGGGAATACAAGTGCCTAGGAATAAACCTACCAAAGAAAGTAAAAGGCCTCTAACCATACAAACATTAAAACACTAAAAGAAGAAGCTAAAGAAGGTATTAGATGATAGAAACCCAGCTATGCTCCTGGATTGGCACAATTGGTACTGTGGCAGTGGCTATCACCATATTAACCTACACACTCACTGCATCCCCCATTGAAAGTCCATTGACACTCTTCACAGATAAAGATAATGTTAAAATTCATATGCAGCACAGAAGACTACATATAGTCAATGCAGAAGAACACTATTGAACATTACCTGACCTCAAAGACAGTGTGGTACTGGCACAAAAACAGACTAGAAGATTCAAATATAAACCTACACAGATATGACCACCTAATATTTGACATATGTCCAAAATATACACTGGAAAAGATACAGCCTGTTCAACAGATGTTGCTGTCGACGTTGAATATCCACCTGCAGAAGAAGTAGATGAAGTCCATATCTCTTACTCTGCACAAAACTCTTCAAAGGGGATCATAGATGTTCATCCAAAACCCCAAACATTGAAACTGCTACAAGAAAACGAGCAAAACATTTTAAGATTATAGGTATAAGGGCTGGAGAGATGGCTCAGTGGTTAAGCACACTGACACTGGCTGCTCTTGCAGAGGACCTGGGGCCCAGCACCCACATGGTAGCTAACTATCTGTAACTCCAGTTCCAGGAGATCAGGTGTCCTCATCTGACCTCTGCAGGGCATTACACAACACAGGTGCACCTACATACATGTAGCAAAGCATTCTAAGTGACTATGGAATGCTTAGCCCCAAAGGAAACTATCAGTAGAGCAGACCCTACAGAATTGGAAATAATCTTTGCCAGCTGTACTTTGGACAGGTGACTAATATCTAGAATATATAAACTAGAAAAATTAGGGGGCCAGAAGATGACTCAACATTTAAGAGCACTTGCTGCTCTTCCATAGAACCTGAGTTTGAGTCCCAGCACCCTCATCAGGTAGATCACAACTGCGTGTAACTCCAGCTCTTGGGTATCTGCCATCCTTTTCTGGCCTCTGAGGGCATTCACACACATGATGTACACATAGATGCATATACACATAAATAAAATAAATCTTTTATTTAAAAACTACAAAAATTAAAAAGACCACCAAAGCTGCCAATCAGTAAATGCGTTAGTGAACTGAACAGACAGTTCTCAAAAAGAAACATAAATGGCCAGTAAATAGTTTTTAAATGTTCAACATCCTTAGTCATCAGGGAAATGCAGTCTTACCCCAATCAGAATAGCTATCATCAAGAAAACAAAGGCCAACATTCTGGCAAAGGTGTTATTTGCTGCTGGTAGAGAGCAGATTTGTGCAACCACTATAGAAATCAGTGTGGAAGTTTATCAAAAAATTAAAATGAGAACATACTATATGACCCAAGCATACCACTCTTGGGCATATACCCAAAGGACTCTTTATTCTACCATAGAGATACCTACTCATCCATGTTTATTGCTGTAATCTCAATATCCGGAAAATGAAACCAGCCTGTACGTCCATCAATAGCTAAATGGATAATGAAAATGGTGTGTGTATTTATACACAGTAGAATTGTATTCATCTGTAAAGAAAAAATGAAACTTAAAAAAAAAGTGGATGGATCTAGAAAATATATTAAGCAAGGTGACCCAGACTCAGAAAGAAAAAAATTGCATGTTCTATGTCATATACAGACCCTAGCTTATAATGTTTATATATGTGTGTGTTTAAGTAGGGGTGAGTAGGGATGTAGGCTATGAAACTAGAAAGGAGACCATGAGATGGGGGAAAAAAAAGGTGTTGGGAAGGGTGTGAGGGCAGTAGAACACATATGACAGTGTTAGTAAGGAGGCTAGGGTTTGGAAGGGTAAAGGGAGGACAAGGCAGTAAAGGAGACGATGGAGGTGAACCAATAAAACATTGTTTTAAAAGTGCTATAATGAAGGCCGGGCATGTTGGCACACACCTTTAATCCCAGCAAAGGCAGAGGCAGGTGGATCTCTCTGAATTCAAGGCCTGGTCTATATAGTGAGTTCCAGGCCAGCTGGGACTACAAGGAGGCCCTGTGTTGGGGGCGGGGGGGGGGTTGCTATAAGGACACCTAATACTGTGTATGCTATGAATAATTAAATGTATATTATTTAATATATGTGATTAAAATTAAATGTTAATGAGATCATCAAAAACTTTTTGGCACAGTGTTGGGTATTGAACCCAGTATCTTGCACTGGCTAGTCAAGTGCTCTGCCACTGAGCTACAGTCCCAGTCCTGTTAATGAGATCTTTATATGACCTAGTACAGCAAATTTACAGAACATATTTTAAGAGCTATTTTAGAGTATACATACACACATATAAACACATATCTGAATGAACTCTTGGCTTTTTCTACCTCCACTTCCTGAGTGCTAATATTAGAGGTGTGTGCTGGATTTAGTTGTCAATTTGATACACCTGGGAAAAGGGACCATCAAATGGGGAATTGTCTCTGTTGGATTGACCAGTAGACATGTCTGAGACATTTTCTTTGATTGTTGAGTGATGTGGGAGGACCCATCCCACTGTGGATGGTGCCACTTCTTGGGAGGTGGTCCTCGGTTGTATGAGATAGCAGGCTGGAGGCACAGGCCAAAGTAACAAGCTGTAACCCTGAGGATGTTCCTCTGACCCTGTGATGACAAGCCATGGACCTGCCTCCTTCCCAAGCTGTGTAAAGAAGCCACTCCCCTTCCCTCTTCCAGCCAATCGGTTGACCATAGCCACTTGTAGGGGAGGGGCTAAAGGTATAAAAGCTGGGAAACCCACCAGGCTGGTCTTTCACCATTTTGTAAGACTGACCCGAACCACAGGATTTATGTCTGGGTGTGGACTTTGGAACACAGCCATGAATGGGGGGGGGGGCACCCACTTGCCTGTAAATGAACCCACACCCCAAGCTCAGTTAACAAGTCCAATAAACTTATTAAGATTCTTCAAACTGGGGTTTGGAGAATTTTTTCCTCAGGCTGTCGCAAGGACTACGGGAGGAGGGGATTGGATGCCACGTGCACCTCCCAGCAGTGAATTTTACTTACACAAGCCAATAAGCAGCACTCCTCCATGGTCTGTGTGTCAGCTCTGCCTCCAGGTTCCTGTTGAGTTCCTACCCTGACTTCCCTCAGTGATGAACTGTAACCTGGGAGTTGTTTGATAAAACAAACCCTTTCCTCCTCAAATTGGTTTTTGTCAGTGTTTTTATCACAGCAATAGTAATTAGGACAGGGTTGTGAGCCACCACACCTGGTTCTTGCTGGAGATCGAACCTAGGGCTTCATAAATGTTAAGCAAGTACTCTGCCAACTGAGCTACATCTCCAGAGTACAGATTGCCAATAGAGAGATGGATGGATGGATGGATGGATGGATGGATGGATGGATGGATGGATGGATGGATGGATGGATGGATGGATGGAATAGATAGATAGATAGATAGATAGATAGATGATAGAGAGATAGATATGGTGTGTGTGGGGGGGTGTTTCGTAGGGAAGAAAAAGGAATTTTACACTCATTGCTATGATTCTGAAAGCAAGAAGTTCAATTCAGAAGCACATTGTGGATCAGAATGTTGCAGATTGTACGTGTTAGCTAATGGAGTAAGATGAAGATGCTTAAAGGAAAACAATTCTCTCAGGACATAATGAGCAGCCTAACTACAGACATACAAATGTTGTATAGGAAAGCTCTTGATGCTATAAAGGCAATTCAGTCTATGAGAAGAAGCCCACAGAAGCTAAAAAGAAGAGTTACAACCCTTCCAAAATGTCCCATTCCCAGAAGAAAGATTGGGTAACTCAAAAGAAGGAAAGTTTCCTCAGCCCTCAGGAACAGGCTAATGCAAACTAAACAAATTTTCAGTGAATTTTTCTTTTCTGATAAAAATAATAAAATTATTGACCAAGACACACTCACCTTTGAGTCCAGTTAGTATTGCCCTTATTTGCATGTGTTTTTGGACTGACTCCTTAGGATTGGAGTCTCATCCCTAAACACACACACACACCATATCTATCCATCCATCCATCCATCCATCCATCCATCCATCCATCCATCCATCTCTCTATTGGCAATCTGTACTCTGGAGATGTAGCTCAGTTGGCAGAGTACTTGCTTAACATTTATGAAGCCCTAGGTTCGATCTCCAGCAAGAACCAGGTATGGTGGCTCACAACCCTGTCCTAATTACTATTGCTGTGATAAAACACTGACAAAAACCAACTTGAGGAGGAAAGGGTTTGTTTTATCAAACAACTCCCAGGTTACAGTTCATCACTGAGGGAAGTCAGGGTAGGAACTCAACAGGAACCTGGAGGCAGAGCTGACACACAGACCATGGAGGAGTGCTGCTTATTGGCTTGTGTAAGTAAAATTCACTGCTGGGAGGTGCACGTGGCATCCAATCCCCTCTAGGGCCTATGATCTTTTCAGTCATAGGTTATTGGTTAGGTTTACAGTACCAGACATAAGTTATCTCCAGTTGAGGGGTCTTTAGGTTCGACTAGACAGCTGTTTGTTGCCTCGAAGATACAAATGCTGAGGCTGGGGAGATGGTTCAGTGGTTAAGACCACTGGTTGCTCTTGCAGAGGACCCAGGGTCAGTTCCTAGCACCCATATGGTGGCTAACCGCTGTCCATAAATCCAGTCTCAGGGATCCAACACTGTAGAAGACATTGCACAACAGGGTGCACTTATATGCAGGCATTGCACAATAGAGTGCACTTACTTATATGCAGATAATATACGCATACATATAAAATAATAAAATAATTTTTTTAAAAATACAGATGCCACTATTGCACTATTAAAGATATCTTGCCAGTCCTGTCATTGTGTCTTGTGGTTCTCAGACTTTACACCTGGGTAGAACTGTTGATACCTTTTTTCCCTTGGCAACTTCTAAAACTATGAGAGTTAGCCCTCAGGGAGGAGGCTTTCCAGTCAGTACCAGCCTAATTTCTCCAAGTTTTGTGACTGAAGTATGTGGTGTCCTTAGCAGTAGGGTCTTACCTTCAATTTCTTATGGGCAACCAAAAGCAGTGACAATAGCTTATATCATTTGGAGGATTTCTTGGACCCTCCTGACTAACAGTTTGAATCCAGGCAACATCCCCTGCCTGATGTGTTTCTTTTTTAAAATATGTTATTTTGTGTGTGTGTGTATTGCCCGCATATATGTGAGTGTACCATGTCACGCAATGCCACAGAGATCAGAAGAGGGCATCAGAGTCCTCTGGAATTGGAATTAAGGATGGTTCATAGCCTCCATATGGGTTCTGGGAATCGAACCTAGGTCCTGTGCAAGAGCAGTCAGTCCTCTTAATTGCTGATCCATCTCTCCAGCCTCTTGACTTGGGGTTTCTTGTTAGATAGACTATGACTTCTTGAGGGAACAGTATCCTACTGTGAGGGATAACTCTGTTAAAACTCTGTGTGTGGGGGGGGTGTATAATTGTATTTTTAAATATTTTATTGAATTTTTGTGTATTTCATACAGAATATTTCAGACAATCTTAATCATCTTTATACCCCCGTCCTCATCAGCACCCTCCCATAACCCCCCCCACTGGAATCCATATGCTTTGTCATCCATGTTAACGCCCACTGTGTCAAGTCAGTGTCCCCAGATGTTCCCAGTGCAAGTCCATCCACTGAGGTCTAGTTAGCCTATCTAGAGTCTCTTGTTTTAGGATGATCAGCTCTTCCTCACCTAGCACTCATCAGTTGCCAATATTTCTTTAGCCAAGATTGGGGTATGCTGTTCATTTCCCCAGTACAATTGTATTTTCTTTAGGTAAGCATATAAAATAGTAGGTTTCCTTATGGCTTTTCCAAACAGCTTTAGTGTTATTTATCATCCCTCCTTCCCTCTCTCTCTGCTCTGTATTACCCTTCTTCTCTTTTCTCTCCTCCCTAGTTAAGCGCCCCCTCCCATTTTTCCTCTTTCCCACTTCATAGCACCTATGTCCTGCTACCCCCTCTCTCTAGAGCTCCTGAGCTCTCCCCTCTCTCCCAGTGGTCTTGTTTTACTCTCCTGGCTTCTACAGTTAACTCCATATTATACAGGCAAACCTAAAGATTCAGATCGAGGATCCATAAAATAAGTGAGTGTTTGACATTTGTCTTTCTGGATCTGGGTTACATCACTCAGTATATTTTCCAGTTCCACCCATATACCTGTGAATTTCATGATGCAATTTGTCTTTACAGCTAAATTCCATTGTGTATGTTTACCACATTTTTATGATCCATTTCATCAGTTGAGGAATATTTAAGTTGTTTCCATTCCCGAGCTATTTTGAAAAGAGCAATAATGAACATGACAGAGAAGTATCCATAGTAGACTCCCAGGTCCTTTGGGTATATGCCAATGAGTGGTGTAGCTGGGTCATATGGTAGATCTATTTTTTAGTATTTTGAGGACCCTCCAAACTGATTTCCACAGTGAATGCACTAGTTTGCAATCCCACCAACAGTGAATGAAGGTCCCGCTTTCCCGACATCCTAACCATTCTGACTTATAAAAGATAAAATCTCAAAGTTTTAATTTGCATTTCCCTGATTGCTAAAGATGTAGAACATTTTTTTTTAGATGTTTCTTAGCCACTTTTTGGCTGACTTTTATTATAAAACCAACTTTATTATAGAGTTGTAATAGTACTTTATTCTGTATATAAGCCCTTTTATTTAATTAGATATATTGTTTGCAGACCTGTTCTTCTAGTTTATGACTAGATTTAATTTTCTTAATGCAGTCTTTTCAGGTAATCCTTTTTTTTTTTTTAATTTTGATGAAGCCTGATTCACCAACTTTTTTTTATCTTTTTTTTTTTTAAGTAAGTCACTGGGTGTTATTGTGCAGGTCTGTAATCCTAACTATTTGGAAGATTGAGGCAGGAGGATCACAAGTTCAAGGCCTTTCTAAGCTACATAGTGAGTTGAAGACCAGCCTGATAAAACTTAGACCCTATCTCAAAATAAAAAACAAAGAATGTATGTATGTGATGAGTGGTAGATGCACAAGACCATAAGC